TTTTCGCAATTCCCGGGCTTGTTCGCATTTCCCAAACTTTTTTCGCAATTCCTGGGTTCGCATTTCTCGAACTTTTTTCGCAATTCCCAAGCCAGCAGAGGTTGGCTCGCAATTCCCACATCTAAGACCTGCAATTTTATACTTAGCCGATTTTAAACCCCATTTTTCATATTCTCTCAAACACAAACATACTTAGGCGATTTTTCAAGAAATCCTTCTTCTCCAAATCAATTGTAAGTCATTTTTAACTAACTTTCTTCAATTCTTAGCATCTTTTAACATGATTTCAACTTAAAATCAAGGATTTTCATGGGGGAAATTGGGTGTTTTGGGTAGAACCTTGGTTTTTCAATAATTGGGGATTTGGACCTCGATTTGAGGTCCGATTTCAAAACAAATTATAAGTTTGGGTTCGTGGGGGAACGGGTAATCGGATTTTGGTTCGAACCTCGGGTTTTGACCATGTGGGCCCGGGGGCAATTTTTGACTTTTAGGGTAAAACTTTGGAAATTCATTTTCATGCATTCAAATTGATTCATTTAGCGTTTATTGATGTAATTAAGTAACTTGTGGCTAGATACGAGCGAATTGGTGGTGGAATTAAGGGGTAAAGCTATAATTGAATCGTGAATTATGTTCGCGGCATCGAGGTAAGTGATTGGTCTAACCTTAGCTTGAGGGATTAGGAGTTAAGTCTTATTTGCTATATGGTAATTGTTGAGTACGACGTATAGGCATGGTGACGAGTATCTATACGTTGGTGTCTAGCATGCCTGTGAGTCTTTATATTGTGATTATCATGACTTTGTTGTATCTTTCATGCCTTGGTGATGGTTTCTAATTGTTGTATAAACTTTGTGGAAAGAATTGTGACCTATGAACATTGAGGAGCGTTGGCTCAAGTTGTATAACGAATTGTGAAAGTATAAGTGATAATTGAACTTTTAGAGCATTGGCTCGAGTTGTGAAATGAGCTGTGAAGGTAAAAGTGATAATTGAACTTCTAGAGCATTCGCTCGAGTTGTGAAGTGGATTGTGAAGTAAAAGTGAGAAAGAGAAGAGATCATTATGTTGTCACCCTTGCCGGGCTATTGTTGATTTATTTGTTATCTCCTTTGCCGGGATGCGAATGTTATTGATGTTGTTCCCTTGCCAGGATTTAATTGTTGACTTGTTGCTCCCTTGCCGGGATTCTTATTGCAAATTTCCTTTATTTGTTTTCCCTATTGTTTGTGATTGTTGTTTGGGTTAGGAAGAGAGTTAAAGCACGAAGGGTGATGTCGTGCATTGTTTGTTTTGTGAGGAAAGAGTGTAAAGCACGAAGGGTGATGCCGTGTCGCACGATGTACCATTCCGTGCCTATTATATTGATTTTATGGTGAGGAAAGAGTGTAAAACACGAAGGGTGATGTCGTGCCGCACGATGTACCATTCCGTGCCTATTGTAATGATTCTTATGGTGAGGACGAGAGTAAAAGCACGAAGGGTGGTGCCGTGCACTTGTCCTTGATTTCCTTGATTCTTGCTGATAATTGAGTTATGTTGTCATTTACGTTTATTTACTGATTTTCTCTTGTTATTTGGTTTTATTTCGAGGTTATAGATTCCCTTACCCTATTTTCCTTGTGATTGTTGTTTGGGTGAGGAAGAGAGTAAAGCACGAAGTGTGATGCCGTGTATTGTTTTGGTGAGAGATAGTAAAAGCACGAAGGGTGATGCCGTGCACTTGTCTTTGATTTCCTAATTTTTACTGATAACAGTGTTACGGTTTCTCTACACTAAATTGCTGGTTTCCTGTTGATACTTGTTGTACCCCGCAGCATGATTTCCCTTTCTATTTTCAATTGAACTATGGTGATCCTCATATATACTTGTTGCTCTTCTGTTACTATTCGATGTGTCCCCGTAGCATGTTTTCCCCCTCCCATACTTGACTGTATATGAATGTTTCTTTCTGTACTTCTTTTCTGTTGTATATAGTTAAATTGCACAGGTTTATTTGGTAGTCTGGTCCTAGCCTCATCACTACTTCGCCGAGGTTAGGCTAGGCACTTACCAGCACATGGGGTCGGTTGTGCTGATACTACACTCTGCACTCTTTTTTGCAGACCCCAGTGTTGTAGACTTCGGACCGCAGTGGGATTGCTGATTCTTGCTCATCAGGCGACCCGAGGCAGTCCTGTAGGCGTCTGCAGTCCTTGGCGTCTCCTTCTATCTACTATTCCTATTTCTTTCATACATTTCTAGAGACAGTGTTGTATTTATTTCTTTAAGCCCCTTTATTTGTAGTATTCTTAGACCGTCTGTGAAACTGTGACACCAGTTCTGGAAAGTCGAGATTCAAACAGTTGTATTGGATTCATGTTCAGCTAGCTTATTGCTTTTTCTTCCGCTTATGTTAAATTCCGCTGCTTAAATGATATTACTTCGCTATTGTTAATGAATATAAGATGGGTAAAAAGGTAAGTTGTTCACATAATTGGCTTGCCTATCTCACATTAGTAGGCGCCATCACGACTCCTGAGGGTGGAAAATCCCGATCGTGACAGGACAAGGGGAGTTACCTTTCAGATATTTAGGGATTCTATTGGCTACAAGGAAACTTAAGATACTGGAATGGCAACCATTAATATCAAAAGTCATTGCAAAAGTGACCTCATGGGTAGCAAAGAAGTTGTCATATGTTGGTCGTGTACAATTGGTGAAAACTGTATTGTTTGGGGTTTAATCATATTGGGCCCAACTATTCATAATACCTGCTAAAGTGATGAAAACTATTGAAGCTTACTGCAGAAACTACATTTGGACAGGATCAAATGAGCTAACTAGAAAAGCACTGGTAGCTTGGAGCAGAATGTGTATGCCAAAGACAGCTGGAGGACTTAATCTCACAAATCTGAAAGTATGGAATAAAGCAGCAATAGCTAAAACATGTTGGGAACTACACGGCAAGAAGGATATTCTTTGGATCAAGTGGATACATGAATATTATATAAAGGGAAAGCAGATAACTGATATGGCCATTCCTCAACAAGCGAGTTGGATGGTGAAGAAAATATTCAAGGCACAAGAGGATATGGGAAATGCTAAACATCAGATATCAGGAAACAAGAACAAGATTAGGAGTATATATCTGAGTATGATAGGACAATTGCCAAAAGTCACATGGAAGAACTTAATGTGTGGAAATATAGCCAGGCCAAAAGCAATCTTCAATACATGGCTTCAACTCCAAGACAGACTATTTACAGTAATAAGACTTCAAAGCTGGGGGCTACAAATAGATACAGCATGGCATATGTGCAAGCAAGCAGAGGAGACAGAAGAACCTTTATTTGCTGAATGTGAAGTTAGTAACAGAATTTGGAGTAAACTAATGAGATGGATCCAAATTGACTGGCCAGCTGTAAAGACAGGGGGAGAAATGCAGAAATGGATAGAGCAGAGAACAAAAGGAAAGACAAAACAAGCAAAGATAGTGAAAATGATATATACAGAGTTCATCTATTCTATATGGATAGAAAGAAATACCAGAGTTTTCATGAAGAAAGAGAAAGCAAGTGATACTATAGCTAGAGAGATAGCCTATATTTGTCATGTTCGGGCTGATGAAGACCTTCAAAGACTGCTGAATATTAGATTTCCAATTAGTTGACAATGTCAGTAGTTAAAATGTATAGGCTAGTGTCTCTGTGTAATGAAGTATAGATCGTATAGAAAGTATGAATAGCAGACTGAGTATGTAGTCTAGCTGCTTTGTAAATATTTTACTTGGTAATTAATGAAATTTGATAGTTACCAAAAAAAAACATGTCAATTCCATTTTTTTCGATTTTGTCTGAACCATCTTGAGCATTGTTAATTTGAATATTTCACATGCGCACAAAGTCTTAAAAAGGTGATTTATAATTTTTAATGTAAAAGTTAAATAATTAATGATGGATAACATGTATATTATATCATACACATTAAATATAATTTTGTCATTTAGTTATTTTTTTAATATTTATAACTTTAAAATTAACAAAAAAAATGTTTCTATAACAATCATGGATATTAAATACAAATGAACTAAGTTGCAGCCTGCTTTAACAATATTTTTTTAAATTAAAGAATGGGAATATAAAGGTATATTATCTCATGTTTCGAATAATAAATCCAATCAAAAGTACTATATTAACAATTCAAATGAGACAAATGAGTTTGGACAAAATGATGAACAAGAATACTTCAAATGAAAAGGTTTACACAAAAATAAGTAAGGACTAATTGTTAGTAAAATCGATACATCAGTCGACACTCCTTCTATATTTAATGATATTTTAGGTTCTCGAGTTTTGTGCCATTTTCTTTGTAAAAATATACGATGTATAAATCTCTTTATNGATGTTACTATCATTAGCGCTAATAATTTAAATTTTATTGTAATATTAGTTAATAACCAAAAACACAAAAGAGAATTTGTATTTTTTTTTGAAAGGAGAAGAAAAAGAAACATATCTTTTGGAACTTTGATATGAAGAAATACTTGAGGGGATATTTAATCGTAAGAGAAAAAAATGCTATAAGATTTTGGTCAAAGGCCAGTATTTGAATACGGAGATATAATCTATTCTTAAAAGTTTAATTAAGAGATTGGTGACAAGTTCAAAGATTGAATGCCTATAATAATTCATTTTTTGGTCAAACAATAAAATTTTATTCAACCAAGTATAATATGTACATCCACTAGTTCTTTTTTACTCTAGAACTAGTCCTGAACTTTGAATCCTACTTACAATTACTCCTCCCCTCTATATATCCACTACACTGTAAGTCTATACTAGACTTGGGTATGAGTTTAACCTATCAAGTAAACTTTTCCAATTGTTTCTAAACTGTCCTTTCCTATGCAATTGAATGGTAATCTCTCTCCGTCTTGAGATACATTCCTGCTGCTGTTCTTGAAATCTCCTAGCATTGCGCTCACTCCAGACATGATAAATAGTAGCAGCTAATAGCTATCCTAGTACCTCTGCATGAGTTTTGCTGTTGCATTGTTTGGTCGTTAGTCTCTCAATCTCCTCCTCCCAGGTCCCTACTTGACTGCTTTCTCCTGTCCAGCATAAGAAAGAACTCCACATCTGTTTGGAATAATCACAGTCAAAGAACAAATGAGTATGTGTTTCTTCAGCATCAGCTCTACATAATACACAGTTCCTAGGAACTTGTATTCCCCATTTAGCCATTTTGTCTGCTGTACTGAGTCTCTTTTGAAGTTCAAGCCAAAGTATAAATTGATACTTTGGTACAGAACATGGAATCATGTTGAGGTTTTTCCATATAACTCTAGGATATTGAGGAAGTAGGTATTTATATGCCTTCTTGATCACGAACTTCCCAGTATGAGTGAGTTGTTGTAATTCTGTGCACAAATCATTGTTCCCGTACCATTTCCTTGCATCAAAGATTTTCCTAACAAGCCAACAGGCTTGCTTAGGTGTCTCCATAGTACTGATGCTCTTACCTTTAATATAGAAACTGTGGATCCATTGAACCCAGAGGGTATCTTTCTTTGCTGTGATAGCCCAGAGCAATTTTGATATGGTTGCTTTATTCTATGTTTGAAACTCAATTATGTTCAAGCCCCCTGCTGATTTTGGCATACATAATCTCTCCCATGCGACAAGTGCTCTTCTTGACGTTGCACATTGTCCAGTCTACAAGAATGTTCTACAGGCACTTGTTATTAATTGCATCACCTTCTTTGGTATCAGGAAATTCTGCGACCAATATGTTTGGATCTCAAAAAGGACACTTTTAATAAGCTGCACTCTGCCACTATATGACAGAAATTTGGTAGTCCAACATCTGATCCTTGCAATCATTCTCTCCACCAGTGGCATACATTGTTGAACTGTTATTTTTTTTGAAGATAAGGGGACACCAAGGTATTTGAAAGGAATCTCTCCCACTGCAAAGTGCATTTCATCGTAGATTTGGTTCTGCAACTGTTGATCCACCCCTGTTATATACAAAGAACTTTTCTCCATATATGCTTTAAGGCCTGAGACTGCAGAGAAATGTTCAAATGCCTTCATCATCAACTGAATAGATATTTTATCAGCCCTGCAGCACATTATTAAGTCATCTACGAAACAAATATGGGTTAGTTTCATTTTCCTGCATCTTGGGTGATGATTGAAGTTGGGATTTTGATTCAACTGTTTCAAGGATCTGTTCAGATACTCCATTGTCAAGACGAATAGGAATGGTGACATAGGATCTCCTTGTCGTAGACCTTTCTTTGCTTGGAATTTAGGGGTGAGTCTTCCATTGAAAATAATAGAGTAACTCACAGTGGAAACACACTCCATGATGAGTTTGACAAACTGGACTAGAATTCCAAACAGACCATTCTCAAAAAATCCCATTCAACAGTATCATAAGCTTTCCTGATATCTACTTTCATTAGACATCTAGGAGACATTCCTTTTCTGTTGTAACCTTTGACTAGCTCATGTGCCACAATCACATTATCTAAGATATTCCTTCCTTCAATAAAAGCTGATTGTGCTGGCCCAACAATTTTGTCTACTACTTGCTTAAGTCTGCTAGTGATCATGTGACGACCCGGCCAGTCGTCTCATGAGTTACCGCTTTGTTTCCTCCATTTTTATTTTTTTATGCTTCGTTATCCGTGTTTTATGTGATCAAGTTGTTTAGTTTGCGTTCGGATTGGATTTGAGAAGAAATGAGACACTTAGTCTCTTTTAAGAAGGTTTAAGTTGGAAAAAGTCAACCGGATGTTGACTTATGATTTAGAGGGATCAGATGTGAGTTCCGATGGTTCAGTTAGCTTCGGGAGGTGATTTGTGACTTAGGAGGGTAATCAGAATTGGTTTTGGAGGTCCGGTGTAGAATTAGGCTTGAATTGGCGAAGTTAGTATTTTGGCGATTTCCGGTTGGTAGGTGAGATTTTGATCCGAGGGTCGGAATGGAATTCCGAGAGTTGCTGTAGCTTTGTTATGTTAATTGGGATGTGTGTGCAAAATTTCAGGTCATTCGGGCGTGGCTTGGTTGGGTTTTTGATCGAAAGCATATTTCGGAAGTTTTTAGAAAACTTAGGCTTGAATTCGATGTGAATTGTTGGATTTGGTGTTGTTTGAGGTGTTTTGATGATTGGAACAAGTTTGAATGAGGTTTTAGGATGTGTCGGCACTTTTGGTTGAGGTCCCGGGGGCCTTAGGGTGATTTCGGATGGCTAATGGGAAGTTTTGAGACTTAAAAGATAGCAGAAATTGCAGGTTTCAGTTGCAGGTATTTTGTTCATTGCGATCGCATAGGTGCTATTGCGATCGCGTAGAAGCTTTTGGGGGCAGTCCATTTTTGTTCAATGCATTCGCATAGGATATGTTGCGATCGCATAGTTGTAAGAAAATTGTTGACTGCGATCGCATGGAATTTGTTGCGTTCGCATAGGGTTAATTTTGGGAGCTGAGTTTTTGTGCTTCGCGATCGCGAAGGTTTTCCCGCGATTGCGATGAAGGAATTATAGGACTAAGCAGTGAGGTTTTTAAACATTTCATGCGCGAGTCTTAGCCATTTTTCCACCATAGCTGATTATTTTGAGAGCTCTTTGAGGGAAATTGAAGAGGGATTCAAGGAGAAGTAATTGGAGGTAAGTTCTATGAACCAAAAACATGATTATATTGTGAAATTAACCTAGAAATTCATGGAAATCTAGCTAAAATGGAAGAACTAGGGCTTGGGATTTTGAGATTTTAAATTGGAATTTGAGGGGCCATTTAAGGTCGGATTTGAGAGTTTTTGATATGTATGAACTCGTGGAAGGATAAGGAACCCGTTGATGTGAAAATTTTTGAGTTTCGAGAAGTGGGCCCGGGGCTCGGGTTTTGCTAATTTCGGGATTTTTGAAATTTTTCGATTGTTTTCGCTTGAGTTTTGTTCCCTTAGCCTATTGTGACATATTCGTTCTGATTTTGGTTAGATTCGACACGCGTGGAGGCCGATTCGAGAGGCAAAGGCGTCGCGAGCTAGAGATTTAGCCGGTTCGAGGTAAGTAATGATGTTAAATGATGTTCTGAGGGTTTGAAACCCCGGATTTGCACATCGTAGTGCTATATTGAGGTGACTTGCACGCCGGATAGCAAGCGTAGGGTAGAGCACCATTGGGGATTGTGACTTGGTCCGTCCCGATAGATGAATTTACCGTGTATTTGATTAAAACTTGTTTGTTATCATCATGACTTGGGCTGATTGCCATATTTGGGCTTCGTGCCAACTGTTTGAACCCTCCGGGGATTTTTATCACTATTTCCTCACTTGTTGACTTGTTACTAGAACTCAGTCCTGTTGATATCTACCGTTTTACAAACTCAGCCACTTTTACTCGGATTTGAAACTTAAATGATATTTCTAAATGTTGTTTTGGGCTGAGAACTATTGTTTTGCTACTGCCCGAGGGGCTTGTGATGATTTTCGGACTGAGTGAGGCGAGGGCCATATGTGAGGATATGCTGAGTGATATGAGGCTGAGGGTCGAGATACTTTTATATGCCACGAGGTGGCTTGAGTGTTGTGAGGCCGAGTGCCGAGAGATGATACCACGAGGTGGCTTGATATAGAGCTTGGGCCGTAAAGGGCCCCTCCGGAGTCTGCACACCCAAAGTGAGCGCGGGTACCCATTTGATCTGAGAGTGAGCCCGAGGGGCTGATACTATGCTGAGAGTGAGCCCGAGGGGCTGATACTATAAGGAGAGTGAGCCCGAGGGGCTGATACTGTTTCGAGTGAACTATATTGTGCCCGAGGGGCAGATTTCTATTTGTTATTTTCCTGTCAAATTACCTGTTTTACTTGTTAAGAAGGGATTTTACTTGATTACTTCATTGATTTACTGTTCAAAGTGACTTTACTGCTTCTGTATAGATTACTTTATGTTTTCGCGTGTTTTCTTGCTTTCAGCCATTATTTATATTTATTACTCACTGGGTCGGAGTACTCACATTACTCCCTGCACCGTGTGTGCAAATTCAGGCATAGCAGGTCCCACTCCCGAGTGTTGACGCGTCCCAGCTCAGGCAGATCTTCGAGGAGACTTTAGGTAGCTGCTGGTGTTCGCAGCCTAAAGCTCCTCTCTATCTATATCTTTACTTTCCATTCTAGCATTGAGACTCTGTAGTTACATTTGAGAGATTTGTTATCTTAGACGCTCGTGGCTTGTGACACCCCGGTTTGGGCTGTATCTGGATGGTTTCCCCTTACTGTTATCCATGTTTCCGCGAATTTATTACTATTTAAATATACTTTAAACCATTTTATGATCATTAATTGCTTTAAAAGTGTATTGTATTGGTCCGGCTGGCCTTGTCTTCACGAGAGGCGCCATCACGACCAGGTTCGGGGCTAGGGTCGTGACATATCACCTTGGCTATTAGTTTGTACAGAGTCGTACAACATGCAATAGGCCTGAACTCCTTGACATGAGTAGGATTTGGGACTTTTGGCACCAATGTAATGGTTGTATTGTTTATCTCCTTAAGTATCTTTCCATTCTCAAAAAACTGAAGGATAGCTGTTATAACATCATCTCCCACTACATCCAAGTTAGCTTTGAAAAATTCAACAGGAAAATCATCTCCCCCGGGGGCTTTGTCAGCTGGTAGATCATTCAGAGCTTGTAGAATTTCTTCCTTAGTCACTGGTTTAATCAGCCCGTGTTGCTCTTCCTTATTGAGACAATACCCATCTTTTGCAATGTTGCTGTTCAAACAAAGTAGTTCTGCAGCCTTAGTGCCCAACAATTCTTGGAAAAAGTTAATAAACTTACACTGTATTTGGTCTGGATCAGTCAGCATAATCCCTTGGTCATTACATATTGAAGAGATATGGTTCCTTGCTTGTCTAGTCTACATTTGGGCATGGAAATATCTTGTATTTGAGTCTCCTTTTGCTAACCATACAGCCCTAGACTTCTGCCTCAGCACCTCTTCATGTATGTTAGACCATTTCTCTAATTCAAAGATCAGATCTCTCTCCTTTTGAATCAGATTAGGATTGTAAAGATCAGAATTCAGCATTGGTTGAGTGACTTGCAACCTCCCTCGAGTGTCTTCAACCTTCCATTCCAAATTGGATACCTCTTTCTGGAGGTGTCTTGTGTTTAGCTCAATAAGTTTGAGCTTTTTGCATATTCCATACATAGTGTACCCAGGAACTTCATACTGCCATGTAGTTTTGATCACTGCCTTAAAATCCTCATTCTGAAGAAGAATGTTTATTAGTCTAAATGGCCTAGGAAGGTTTTGTCTTATTCTCCCAGTGTTAACAATAATAGGAGAGTGGTCTGAGCATTCTGGGTTAAGGTAGACTGCTTCCAAATGTCCATAGTTGTCGAACCATTTTGAATTCCCAAAGGCCCAATCTATAAAGCTGTAGATTCTGATATGTGCATCTCTCTTATTACTCCATGAGAATAAACTCCCTGTTCTTTTTAGTTGTCCAAGCCCTATGTCTTCAATACACTCCTGGAAATCCTTAATTTCATTTGGATGTACTAGAATACCATTTTGTCTATCGTTCACAGAAAGAACAGCATTGAAGTCCCCTAGCACAATCCATGGATCAGTTATATTGTTATTCAGATTCCTTAGCCCTTGCCATAAGGCCTTCCTTTCATTTACGGTATTCAAGCCATAAACAAAAGTTATCTGGCTAATAAAAGTTAAGCCCTTGTCTTTTACTATGCAATGCACAAATTGAGGCATAAATGCTACTATTTACACTTCCACTTGTTGAGGTTTCCAACCAATCCATATTCTACCATTTGGGCTTTGATTATAGTCACTAGCTATTTCCCAATCATTCCCCATTTTCTTCTTAACTTTTTCAGCTTTGTTATCTTTAACTTTAGTCTCAAGACAACCTATTAGAACTACCTTATTTGTAAGCAGGAAGGTCTTGAGTTCTTTCTGCTTAAAGGGCTTATTTAGCCCCCTTATGTTCCATGAGCAGAATATCATGGAGGTATCTTCCTCGAAGGACTCTGTTCCCTTATCACTTTTGAAGTGACTATCATTGGTTGACTTTTTAGAGCACTAAACTGATTCTGCCTCAGCAACCTCTCAATCTTTTCACTGTCTTCACACAACTGATTTTGTCCTTCCTGTTCATGAGTAATAGCTAATTTTTTGTTACCCTTGTTCTTGGCCTGTTGCACCAGGAATTCCAGACTCTCATGCTGTTCTCTTTCATTCTGGTCATCAGTTAGCTCTTCTACTTCTTTTGTCAATTCTAGATCAACTTGTTGTTCAGCATTTGTGACTGGTTTATTAGGCTGTTGATTCACTTTTACTCTCCAGCCCATCTTCGGCTTCCTTCTATTTATTTGTTGCTTTCCTTTTTCAAGTGTGGCCTTCTTACATTCACCATTCTGATGCCCTATGCTCAAGCAGCTTTGACAGTATAGGGGTCTCCACTCATACTCAATGCTCTGCAATTTGCATTTTCCTCCTGGTAGTTCAATTGATATCAATTCCGGAAGTTCAACTGATACATCCATTTCAATTAGAATACGTGCGTAGAACACTCTCTCCTTTGGCTGTAAGCTTATCCGTGCATATTGGCTTTCCCAAAAGCTCGCAGTTCGACCCAAACTTCTTGGTTCCCAGTATTCAACAGGCAGATTTGGAAATGTAACCCATATTGGAATGACCTGGAGGGGTTCCTTGCTCATCTGAAATTCTGGTTCCCAATGTTTGAGAACCATAGGCCTATTGTTAAAGGTGAAGGGTTCATTCTGCAATAGGGTCTCCTTATCATTCTCAGACATAAATCGGAAGATGAAATACCCGTCATTATGCAGAAATAACTGAGGAGTCATGACAAAATTCCACACCCCATACACATATTTCAGCATTTCCTTGAATGTAGGGTTTCCCCTAATTACATATCCAATTAAAGCTGACTTCCATTTCTGACATTCCTCTTCAACTTCTGCTTGGACTAATTTCACTATTTTCCTCCCATCTCTCATTATTGGGGGAAAATAGTCGAGTTTCATCCCTAATTGCTGAGATCTGTTACCTTGTACAACTTCAGCCGCCGTAGGTTTTCTCATTTCCCCTGTCGCGGAGAAGGTAAGTTTTCTTGCTGCTGCCGTTGAGGATGTGCCTTCGTCTTGTTCTACAGGAGTATTGATTTCCACCGGTGGTCTTCCTTGCAAAACCGTTGGAGCACTTCCCATTCCTGTTAGCCATTGACCGAATTGCCTTGGTCTTAAGTCCTGAGGGATTCCATTTTCTGGGGTAATTACCCTAGTAGGTTCTTCCTGTTCTGTGGAAGGTGTTGACGTCGCCGGAATTTGCTTACTCCGTCGAGCCATGGTTGAAGGCGCACGTTAATAGTCGTTGACTAACATCATTTTTATGCTTACTATTAATATAAAAGTACATTTGAAAAACTCTATATAAGTATTAGGCGAGGAAAAATACTTAAGATTATCTCATTAATTCTACTAATGTTTAGATGTTAGTTTATAGTGAGCTTTGAACAAACTAGAATTGTGTCACTTAGAATTTTGATGAAATCAATGATGGACAATATTTTTCGTATTCAAATTGATTATGAAATTCGTATTCAAAATCAAGACTTTTTTCATTATCTATCTATATGTCATTAACATTATTTATTTTTCAAGAACGTACACTTTTTAAATTTTTATTTTGTAACTCAATTATATTATTTAATAATATTTTATTATTTTTAAATTATATATTCATTGTTATAGGTACACGCGCAACGCGCGTACACTATAACTAGTACTATATTAAAAGCAGGAAGGCTTTTAGCGAAATATCGTTCGTCTTTTTGTCCCTTTAAAAATAAAGTTTACACTGGACAAAATAATCATTTGATTATTTTTCTAACATTTAGGAATAGTCATTTAATTAATTCTCTACTATTTAGGAATATCCATGTACTTAGTTTTCTACTTTTAGGAATAGTCATTAAATTATTTCCCTAGAATAAATTCAAATTTTACCTTATATAAAATAGTTTTTATTTAAATTATGTAACTTAATAATTATTATGAAAGAGGGACCCACGAAAATTCTTTAAACGAAATGTGAGAAATTAGTTTCAATTTAACGTCATTGAGATTTGTTGCTCTAGGTTTAGGAGTTTCTGTGTTATGGTACTATAACCAATTAAGCATTCATAATTTTATTATTTTATTTTTTTTAAAAACAGTAAGCAACAACAAATAAAGTTGGTTACTGAATTAGAGCACAAAAAATAAAACTACAAATAATGTTAGCTACTTCTTTTCGTTTTTTCTATATTGGAGTTATACATGATTTTATTGGTTAAATTCTTCTTTTATTTGTATTATATAAAGCCAAATACTTCTTCTTTTTTTGGTAATTAGAGATTTTCATTAATCACCAATGAAGCTTTACAAATCCACAGTTGTCTTACAACTCAGCCTACTGTCCTATCTGCTTTAATTCTCCAAACTATACATATATCAACTATACTCACCTCCTCTTCTCCTATTATTTACAATCAGAACTGAAAATGTTGTATAAGTTGCCTATTCTGATTTGTTGCTCTAACATTACATATGCATGCTATGTTCCTAGCTAACTCTTCAGCTTTCCTGCTTTGCTTTTCAAATATCCTATGATTTCTCTCATTCCATATCTCATGAATTGCTTCTGCATATACCATCCTGAATACTCCTGCCTTACTTGATTTCCCTTTTGCATTCTCTGCTGCCCATTCCCAGTGTTGATCCCATGAGGTTGCCCAGATTGGTTGCCTCTGCATCCATTTTAGTAGTTTTGTCCAAATACTCTTAGTATACTCACATTCAATAAAGATATGCTTCCTATTCTCATCGTGTACTCTACATAGACTGCATTCCCTGTCCACCTGCATCCCCCATTTGTTTGATCTGTCACTAGTTGGCATCCTGTCTTGGAAATACAACCACATTGTGAATTTAGCTTTTGCCCTTGCTTCATTTCCAAACATGAACATCTTCCATTCTACTCTTGGCAATTGCCCCATCATAGCTAGATATAGTTGTCTGATCATGGTGCTATTCTTCCTTAGCTGAATTTGAAATGTTGCCACTGAGCTTCTTGCCTCCACCATCTTTCTAACTAACCAGGAAGCCTGTTTTGGTATTGGCATATTAGATAACTGTTGGCCTTTTATATAGTATGCATGTATCCATTTGATCCACATCTTATCCCCCTTGNTGCTTATTCCTACTAGTTTGTAGATTGATTAGGTCTAGTCCCCCACGTACTTTTGGGGGTACACATTTTATCCCATGCTACCAGAGATCTTCTAGTGATGACATCGACTCCTGACCACACATAGCTTCTGCAGTATGCTTCAATAGTCTTCAAGACCTTGCTAGGAATCAGAAACAGTTGAGACCAATAAGCCAGGATACCAAATACAACAAATTGCACTAATTGAATTCTTCTAGCATATGAGAGTTTTTTAGCTGTCCATGAAGAAATTCTTGCCACCATCTTCTCTATAAGTGGTTGCCACTGGGCTATGGACATCTTCTTAGTGGCTAATGGTACTCCTAGGTACTTAACTGGTAATGTACCTCTAGAGTAACCAAATTTCTGCACTATCTCTTCACTTGCCAACTGATCAACACCACCAAAGAAGATTGAACTCTTTTCCTGGTTAGCTTTCAATCCTGAAGCTGCACAAAACTGGTTAAGGCAATGTTGTAACTGAGTGATTGAGGCCAAGTCACCCCTTGCAAAGAGCAGCAGATCATCTGCAAAACTCAGATGAGTTATGCCTAGCTTAGAACACCTTGGGTAATATTTGAATTCCCTTTCTTTCTTCAGTCCATTCAAGCCTTTAATCAAGTATTCCATAGCAGTTGCAAAGAGGAAAAGAGACATAGGGTCTCCCTGTCTCAATCCCTTTGCAGCCTGGAATGGCTCAATAGGTTCTCCATTGATGATAATTGAATAGGTCACAGTCTTCATACAAGCCAGCACCCATTGTTGAAATTTACTAGGGAATCCCAACTCAATCGTTACTTGTTCCAAGAATATCCATTCTACAGAGTCATAATCTTTAGTTAGATCAATCTTGATCATACACCTTGGGGAAGAATTCTTTCTGGTGTATGCCTTCACAAGTTCATGAGATAGGATTATGTTATCTGATATTTTCCTTCCTGTAATGAATCCTCCCTGAGCTTCACATATCACGCTAGCAATTACTCGCTGCAGTCTGTTTGCCAGTATTTTAGATATGATCTTATAGAGGACAGTACAACATGAAATAGGCCCGAATTCCCTTGCTGTGGTTGGGCTATTCACTTTAGGAACAAGAGTGATTGATGTACAGTTAATACCTTTGTACATTCTTCCTGTGATAAAGAACTTCTGCACTGCTTGCACAATCTCCTTCTTCAATATAGGCCATGCTTTCTTGAAGAAATATGAATTATATCCATCAACTCCAGGAGCTTTATCTCTTGTATAGCACATAATCCCTTATATACTTCATCTTCTGTCACTTCTGCAATCAAACTTAGTTGTTGTTCATGAGTAAGCTTAGGGCCATTCTTCATTATTTCTTTGTTGATTGCTGGTAGTGTCTTTGTAGAAGTCCCCATCAGGTTTTTATAGAACCTTATAAACTCTTCTTTAATGCTAACCTGGCTATTAACCTTCCTTCCATCCTCTGTAATCAGCTCCAATATCTGTTTTCTATGGCTCCTCTCTTTTACAATAGCAGAAAAATACTTGGTATTGCTATCCCCGAGTTTAATCCATTTGACCTTGATATTTGTTGCATAATACTCTCTTCAATTAGAGATGACTTCTCTAGTTGTTGGATAGTTTGCTTCTCTTGTTCTAGTATACTGTCATTATATTGGCTTTGCATCTTTTCTTGGACTGTCACAAGGTCACTTCTTGCATCTTCAATTCTCTTTGTTATTCCCTTATATTCATCAGCATTTAGTCTCTTGAATAAAGGCTTCAGAGCTTTAAGCTTCTTCCATACATTCTCCATGTCATCCACTGCTAATCTTTTGTTCCATATGGTTATCACTATATTTCCAAACTCCTTGTAATCTGTCCATACATTAAAGAATCTGAAGGGTGGTTTGGTAGTGGATCTCATAGACTTGATGTTCAGCAACATAGGAGAGTGATCAGATATCAATGGTACATCATATTCAGTACACACATGCCCCTAGTTAGTCATCCATAGGTCATTACCAAACACCCTATCAATTCTACTTAGTATCCTGTCATCCCCTTGCTGTTTATTGGACCATGTTTAGTATTCCCCCTTCCAGGCCAGTTCATTTAGAAACAGGTTATGAATACAGTCTGAGAAATCCACCATTTCACTCATTGCTACTGGATTGCCATACATTCTGTCTTGAGTATACAACATTTCATTAAAATCTCCACCAATTATCCAAGACTTTGCCACTTGTGTTGAAATGTCATTCAGGTTACTCCATAAAGCTTTCCTTTGTTCAACTATGTTGAAACCATACACTAGTGTAAGGCAAGCTTCAAATCCATCCCTTCTCCCCCTTACTGTGCAATGAATCAATTGAGCATCTATTTTTTGAACATCAATACAATATACCTGAGGATCCCATGTCAGCCAAATCCTCCCATTAATTGCATTTTGGTAATTGTTCTGAATTTCCCAACCAGGTAAGATGTTTTTGAAAACTCTATTGGCTCTATTCTCCTTGACTCTAGTTTCCAAAAAACCAGCTAATTTTATTTGCTTATTCTGTACATATATCTTTAATTCTTTTTGCTTATATCTCTTATTTATTCCCCTCACATTCCATATCACCCAAGTCATTAAACTCTAATAGGTGGCCCACTATTAGCTTTGGGCAAGCATTGCTGTATCCTCTTTCCACCTATGTACTCCGCTGTTCTATTCCCTCTCAGTATACTAGTAGTTAGAGCTGGGAACTCCCTGATACAGCTCAGTTCAGGGCTCTTTTGAGTGCTTTGAATCACCTTTCCAGGTGTTTGATCTTCAGTTCTTGTTAGAGCGTGATGTGTTTGATCCATAGGCTGTTGTGTTTGATCAATAGGCTGCTTATCATTTATCTCTTCCTCTTGTTGATCTGCTCCTACTACCACAGTAGGAGGCTCCTCTATCTGCTTCTTAGCTCTCCACTCTTGTACCACTTTCTGTGCTTATTGAGGGCCTTCCTATGCAGCAAGTGGTGCCCTCCTTCTTCTTCTAGGCTGCTCATAGTGGTTTTGCTTATTCTCAACTTTCTTACAAGAGTGACCAATCTTCAAGCATTCTTCACAGAATTCCGGTTTCCAGTCATAGTCCATTGCTTGTTCAAACTGTCTTCCATCTGGTCCCATACTGTGACACTTGTTGGCAATGCTCTAGTGACATTTATCTCAATTAACATCCTAGCATATGTGATCCTCTTTTGTTTTGAGGTGCATTCATCTGCATATAGTGGTTTGCCAATAGCTCTTGCAATTCTGCTCAAAGACAGCCCACCCCAGCAGCTCATAGGAAGATTAGGTAGTTTCACCCACAGTGGAATTTCAGTTCGAAATTCCTTGGTAAAATCGAAATTAACAGTCCATGGCTTCAAAATAAGTGGCTTATTGTTCATTGTGTATGGACACGAGTATAGAATCTCATTCATATCATTCATTGATTGAAAATTGACAACATAGTATCCTTCCTCATGATAGAAAACTTCCGGTTCTAAAACTTGATTCCAACTATGTTTTACAAATCTGTGCATGTAATTATAGTCAGGTGTTTCCCCAATTACATACACAATTAAAGCACATTTTCATTTCCTAACCTCCTTCTCCACATCCTCTTTCTCAAGTTGTACCACTGTCTTACCTTCTACGATTTTAGGTGGTATATAACTCAGTTTCAAACCATTTTCAGAGCTGCGATTACCTGCAAACAATGAGGTCCACGCTGCTTTCTCCCCTTTCTCCTCATTTACTGGTGTTAGGTCTTGTGTTGATTTGCTCGTACTCGCTAGATCCTTGCTTGTACTCGCTAGATCTGCAGCTTTCTCAATTGATTTGTCACTTTGGCCACTTAAGATGGACTAACACTCAGATCCAATCTCTTAGCTGCAGTTTCCTTCATTCCATCACTTGCATGTTGCTCCTGTTGATTATCTTCCAATGGAACAGTAGTATTCGCCTTAGTAGCTACTGGAGTTTTCTCTGGTTTCAAGTTAGCTTCAGCTAGGTTTCCTCCCCCAGCTAAAGGTTGCAACCTTGGTCTTCCTCGAGGTCTGCCTCCTCCCCGAGCCATATCCACGGTGGTCGGACCTCGTACTAACGTGCGCCGGTGAGCATTGGGTTAGAGAGAACTTTATTAGAAACACATTTGGTATTGCATTAATTTAATATGGATACTTAAGCCGAATACTTCTATAAAAGAAGACATTAATGACCTTATTGAAGTTAATTTACCTTATTAAAATTAAATAATTTGTTTATAATATTTTATTTATTGTTCGTAAATGTACGCTAGGGACATGCATGCATGAATTTTATAAATAAATTTTTAAACTTCATTCAACATATATTTTTTCCCCAAATTAGACATATAAACTATTGTATAGGCATCAATTTTCTATAATTATTTTCTGTAAAATATTCTTTGTCATTAAAAGTGTAGTCCATATTTTGACTTACTTTTTTTAAAACTATTTGCTCATTGACTTGGGGAATACGCGCAAAGCACATACCGTTTAGTATTAGGTAACAAATATAACAACAAATTCATAATATATTCCCATAGTTCTTTAGAAATTGTAATAAGATGTATGTAGATAAGGATTTCTTCCTTTATTAAGATAGCTAAATGGTATCAATATTTACTAATTTCAAGAACTTACACTTAAAAACTTATATATTCATTGATACGGGATACACGCGTAAAACGCATACCCTAAAATTAGCAGTGTAAATATTCGTAAACAAATCATGAGGTGGTAGTTGCACAAAAACTTGCATCTACGAAGGAAAGGGAATTTGCTTTAAAACTTGGCCCTCTAATGGAACTGATCAAGATAAAGTGAAATAATTGCTTTTTTGGTTCTTATCTATTAATTTGCCTTT